CATGCTGGCTTAAACAGCAGTCCAGATGTTAACAGGATGTACCTGGGAGGACTGATGTTTTGATTTGAAATAGTTTTCAGAGAACCGGCGTTACTGTGGTAACCATTGATACTCTGCTCGTCACTGTTTCTTGCTGCAAACTTTTCAAAGTTAGATTTTACAGAAAACGTGTGCGTCTCTGCTTCAGCTCACCTGAGACAGTCACAGACAGCCGGCGGCTCTCAGAGGAGAAGTTGTGAGAAAAAACATAAACACGATAAAAGCAGCTGTAGTTTCCTTGGTGGGCGGGCTCTGTGACAGGAAACAGGAAGTGGGCAGAGTGATTGACAGCTGGCTGGGTGTAGTTGTATGCTGCGTTGGAGGAAGTGAAGGTGAGCTGGAAGGAGCCTCCTGGGAACTGTGGCTGGATGGAGCAGCTGATGGTCAAGCTGGAGCCCCTGGACACCCGAAGCCCCTGCTGCTGTGCCTCGGAGACCCCGTCCATGGAGGCGGGGACAATAATGCTCGGCTGAGCCAGCAGGTCTGTAAATGAACAGAGACCATGACAGGTGAGGTTATCATCAGAGGCCTTATGGCAAACAAAACAGCCTCTGAACAGGAGCAGCAGTGAACTGAGCGACGATGGACTATAGACTGAGATACTGGATCCAACTTCAGGACCTCCACAAACACAGCTTCCTCCAGATGTTTGAACATCAGCAGTTTATGGAAAGACTGAAGTTTGCAAAAACGTCAGGTACTGTTAGCTAGGTTAAGTAGGTCATATACCAGCAAATTTCAACCTGAGTATTGTTCTTTTGCTTCATAGACTCTAGTGTTCAAATGTACAACTTCATAAGAGTTTGCAGCTGGTTACATAAACTTTCTTGGTCTCGGTGCTTAAATGTTCCCTTCATAACTCTTTAAAATGAACTAAATCTACGTCTTCCACTAACAATCACTTCCTTCGTGTCACACCTTCAACTATTTTACCCCGTGGTAATTGATGGGCTTACCTGAACAGGTGACACTGAGCACAGAGGAAGAGTAAGATGGTTCTACACACTCCCTTAGGGAAGATCTCAGCTTGAAACAATCAGGTTTGATTGTCAACACAAATCTGTATGAGGACTTTTTTGGTCCCATAGAAACAGCAGAGCCACAGTCCAGATGTTCACAGAAGACACCTGCTGCCTTCAGAGGCCCGTCAGAGCCAATCACTGGTCTCCATTCTCCCAGGTGTTTCACCTCCAGTGTACCTGCACAGCGACTGGCTCCTCCCACCAACCTGACAGGCTCTGACAGAAAGCAGAGAGTCATCAGTGAGAGAACAAAGTGAGTTTGAACCAAAGCTGCAGCTCCTCTTCTACCTGAGCAGGTGAGTCCAGCAGCTTTGCCAGGTGAGCAG